TGGCCTAAACACCCTTATGTATATCGCCTTGCACCCCGGGAGCAGAGGAAAGCTCTTTAAAAGTAACACTTTATGAGCTTCAAAAAAAATGTGGCTTTTGCTATTTTGTCCTTCAAAAAAAGGCTATATCGATTTTTCAGTTTCTGGGAAATGATATTTTAAATTATGAGATCCCAAGTCTCTACTCCCAGATTGAGGAATCTTGGGGATCATCTGGGATAGCCTCTTTATTTCACAGATAAACTAAGACCTCAACCCCAGGCACAGAGCCGGTGAGGGGCTGAGTCAGAACTGACACCCAGGTCTTCCAACTTCTAGATCCTTCTCCCTTGTAGTAACACGGCTATTGCGCTAAAAGAACCCAGAAGCCTTTGCCCTCAGCCTGGAAAACCAATCCCGCTGCCAAACTGGCAAACTCTTACTCACCCTTAGGGTCTCAGCCTGGATGTCGCCCCCTCCAAGAAGCCTTCCTTGACTTTTCCAGAGGATGGATTAGACACGCCTCCTCCTGCATGCTGCCTCAGGCCCAGCCCTTCTCAGTGCTGTCCCAGCACCCATTCCAGCTGCCTGTCAGGTGGTCTCCCAGAAGCCTGGAAGTTCAGGGCTGAGGTTGGGGGGGAGGCAGTGCTTGCCAGTCTGTTTCATGTGCCCATGATGAAAGCCTCCTTTCTGTTCATTCATTCGTTTGTTCTAGAAAGACCTTTGTGGCCGGTGTTGGGTGCTGGAGAGAGAAGGTTTGGGTTGGATAACAAAAGAGAGACAGATTCTAGCAGCACCGGGGACTTTAGAAATGCTGACCCCTCGAGACAGGCTGTGTTCTGCCCATTTTACAGAAGGGATCTGAGGTTCCCAGAGCGTTGGCTACAGGCCCCCAAAGGGCAGGAAAAGCACCAGCCTGAGAGGAGAGAGAGGCTGTGCTGGGAAAGGGTCGCCCACGGGCCAGGAGACCTGGGGGGTCCAGTCCGAACCTCACTATCGGTTAGCTGTGCGCCTGGGGGAATTCACCCAACAGCTCCGATCCTGTTACATCATCTGAAAAATGGGCTTGGTTAACACTTGTCTTACTCTCCCTACTACGTGGCCTTATTTTCTCAATCAAAACTTAAGCTCCATGGTTGAAGCAAGTCCAGCCTCACAGAAGCAACGGAAAAGAAACTGTGAATTCTGAGTCTTCGAGAAATGTGATTCACACACCCCGTGGGGCCGTGGGCTACCGGCTGTGTGTTTGCCTCACACCCAGCAACAGGCCCGGTGGGGGTGGGGGGTGAGAAGGGCAGGTCAGTTCACTCAAAGGCATCTGCTGGGCCTCCACGCACACAGCCCCTGTGAGCTGACCAGCCCGCACCTCGAGGCAGTGAACTAGGTTTACCAGCCCTCCATGTCACTATAACGGAGACTTCCAGAAACCTTGTGATGCAGGGGTCCACCTCGACCCCCCACGCTAAAAGGAAGATAGTCAGGCTCAGAAATGGGAAATGACCTGCCCAAGGTCACCCACCTAGTCAGAACGGAAAGCCAGCTTCTGAACCCCCAAATTCTAGCCTCCCCACCCTCAAACGATCTTCACAGCACGGTTACAGTTATGGTTATTACTGTGGTGCCTGGAGCTCTTACTAACAGCTGAGACCGTCTATTCTCTTTGCACAGGTTTGTCTGCTTCATCTTCAGACCATCTCAGTTTGCAGATGAGGAGTTTAGGTAACTTGTGTGAGTCACTTACTCGATGTGTCACCACAGGGACATGAGGCCACAATCTGGGCTCCTGGGAGGGGCCGAAAGGCATGGCGAGGACAAGCCTGAGAGGGAGGCCCCAGTCCCACCTGGGACTTGGGAAAGGGCACACTCTGAGCCATCATGCAGAACCAGCCTGCTCCTCTCCAGGGCACCCTCTGCCCATCCCCAAAAGCCCCAGCACTTGACATCCTCTCACTCAAGAGAAAGAACTAAACCCTCCAGGTCTCCGCCCAGAACAGAGAAATCCACCCACCCAGCTCCAAAGCCACAAGATCCTAAAGCAAGACACCTGGCCTTGGGATCGCCCAGCAAGAAGTCAGCTGAGCAGCCACATGGCAATTTGGGGCAGAGGTGAGACTCAGTGCAGGTGCCCACCTGGGCCGGAGCCCCTCCACCACACCTGCTCGCCCCTCTATTGCCCATTCAGAGCCCAGTTTTTCAGTCCCTCCTTCTCCCCCTCCCCACTCCCACCAGTGATCTGACTGACACAGGAGCAAAGCTAGGAGAAGGGCTGTCCTCCTGGATGGGCGCCCCTCTCCGGGCTGCCAAGTACAGGTTTTCAAGGATTCAAGTCACTGAGTCATTCGCCAAACACATATTTGCATAGCTCATGCCACCCATCTCAGAGCAGAGGCACCTCCTCCGGTCACCAGGCCATTCTGTCATCTTTGGGAACAATCCCTAGACTCATTCATTCATGCAGCAAAAACTGAGGTCCTACTAGGCACCAGTCACATTTCCAGTCCTCCTTCCTCTCCTCCCGCCTCCCCTCCCTCCCTCCCAGCCCTCAGCTCCTCCCCCTTCCCCACACAAACCCTGCGGGCCCCTTTGCCCTGACAAAGAGGGCAAATCCTGGGGCCCCCGGGGAGTCAAGGAGCCCAGAGGGGCTGAGGCAGCACTGGGCTGGCCGAATGAAGGACACACACACATCCGGTGGTTACCTGGTGTGGCCAGGGCAGCGAGCAGGCGCCTCTCCGGCAGAGGCCTGGGAGGTACTAACGCTGGGCCCTGGGGGCTGCAAACCCCCTCCCCCGCCCCCTCCTTTGGCCTCCACCCCGTCCGGCGGCATGGAAAACCCAGCCCGGGCTCAGCCGACTTCCTCTTGTGTCATGGAAAGTGAGGGTGATGAGGACAGGAAACTGCACAGGGATCTGGGGTCTGAGCCGGGGACAGTGGGCCTGGAGGCCAGGAGGGGGAAAGGAGGGGTGACTCATGGGGGGGCGGCGGCGGCAGGGAGGGAGGGTCTCGAGGAGGCAGAGGAGGGAGCCTAGGGGCAGTGTCTGGGAGGGGGGAGGCTTTGGGAGTAAGGGGACCCCTTCCACTGGGAAAGGGGCAGGTACCAAGCCCTGGACGACTGGACGGGCCCTGAGTTGCTTTCTATTTTCCAAACACAAACAAAAATTAGAAACCATAATCTTGCCTATGCTGAAGACTGAGATCAAATAAAAAGCCAAGTTTTTTTGTCTGTTTTCTTTGCTTTTGTTAAGTGGGGGTGGGGATAGTGGCAAGAGTTGTGAATTGAGAGAAACGTGGGTTCGAATCTTAGTTTTGCCAGGCCAAGCGGGGTTCTGTCTGAGCCTCAGTTTCCTCATCCGTGAAATGGAAAACTCCACCCACTTCCCGTGATGCTTGGGAAGGCAAAGACACCACACCTCTGTCTTACTCAGAGGCTCAATAAAATCCTTTCTCCCTTTCAAACTGCACTTTTGTGAACCAAATGTGGTAAAGGGGCTATGATGGGCCACTTAATACTCTCAGTTACTGTGACCAATAAAAGCTTTCTAAACACCCAGTCTCCAGGAGAACAATCACCAGGGGGGTCCTTGGAGTGAGAGCAGGGCAGGGATCATCCATCTCTGTCCCTGGTGCTCGGCCAGGGGTGAAGATTTGCTGAATGAATGAATGAATGAGTGAATAAATGAACGAATGAACAAATGAATGCAAAGTCTGGTAATTCCCGAGTCAGGGGACAGGAAGGATGGCTGCGAGGGCAGGGGGCAGGGCCAGGAAGGGCTGGTGGCAGGCTGGGGTGGTATTATCTCTGAGGAGGGCAGGAGGCATCAGAATCCTGCACGAGGTGGTGGGCGTGGCCCCCAATCACGCAGACTCTGGGGTCCTCCGTCCTGATCCCAGGCCTCGGTTCTTCCCTTTGGTGAAATGATTCAAGCGTCTGAATCCCTCGGGCCTCCTGTAGCTGACACTGGGGAACGTTGAAAGCTGGGGAGTTAAGGGGGTGCTCTCCGGCAGCTGCTAAGACAATCTGATTGGTCTCGGGACAAAGAGCTGCACCCCCATCAGCCCTGAAAGACCTGGAGCTGCTGGGGGTGAGGGAGGGAGGGGAGGTGCCCCTGGCAGGCTGACTCAGACACTTGCCCTCCAACCCTTCACGTTCAGCTGCCTCCTGTCCCCGTGCCTGCCTGGAATGGCCCAGAGAAGCCCTAAGAAGCCCTAAGAAGCCTGGGTTTGGCCTCAGTCTAACCCGTCCGGGGTGTGCTGCGCCCCAGGAGGCTGGAGTTCTCCTGTCTCAGGCCTCCCCCATTTACTTTGCAGGAATCCAGCGACCCTGCCCCTTCTCAACAGGCCAGAGGTGGATTCCAAGCCGTCTGGGAGCAACATCGGCATGGAGATCGCACGTGCACACACACGCACACACACATGCACACACACACGCACACTCTGACAGAGGCCCAGCATTTGTGGAGGAGCCCTTGCCTGTGCTTGCTGGTTAAATATCACCTGTGGGGATTCACCTCAGACCCCCGCCCTGTCTCCAGAAGGGGAGGCGAAGAGTGTCATTTGGGTTTTGGTCACTGGGCCTATAGCATGAACCAGAGTTGTGCTCCTTTCTTCCCGCCTCTCACCCCCACCCCCCACCACCGGCACAGCTCGGCACCGTCTGGGTGGGACCTCTGCCTCAGGAACTCGTCCCCAGGCCTCTCGATCTCCGCAGGCCTGCTCTCAGCGGGGTCCTGGCCCAGGATGGCATGGTCAGGACGCCACCCTAGCCCTGGGCACCTCGGGCAGGAAGCTGGCAGAAGCCAGGCCCGCCATTCGAACTGGGACAAGTGGTTTTACCAGGAGGAAGTTGACAGTTCAACTTCAAACACGAGTGACGCAGGCCCCACACTGCCTGCTCCCCGGTTCCACCCCTGCCTAAGCCTGCCTGCCCCGCCCCCTCCCTACCCCCCGCCTCCCCGAGAGAGGGAGACACGGGGCCAGACAGCCTCACCCACGGGTGCTGAGCTTGCCGAGGGCTGACACAGACGGAGGCCATGCCCATGGGGTCTCAGCAACCGCTGCTGGCTGCCCTGTACCTGCTGGGGGTGCTGGGTGAGTACCCCTAAAAGGGCTCGGGGTGCAAGGAGGAAATGGCAGTTCTTCCCTTGGTCTGGCTCTGGGGCTTGTATGTCACCTCTCTGGAGCATCATGGAAGGTTGGGGCTACTAAGATCTCTGTCTGTGCTCCCAGCCCCAGCTCGGCTCTCAGCCCTGCTTGTCCCACCCCCAGTGCCCCAACTCTGCTTCTCTCTTGCCCTGTTGGTGGCCTTACTGTACCATTTCAGGTGAATTCTATGCTAAATCAGACTCTCAGCCTAGAAACCAAGTCGTCCAGCCCCCATGAGAAGAGGGCTTCCCTCTGCAGCATCCCCCCTGCCCCGTGATTGTCCAGCCTTTCCTTGGATGCCTCTGGGGACGGGAAAATCGCCGTCTCCTGGACAGTTCTGATGATGCTCTGGGCAGAGTGGCTGAGGCAGGGTGGGAACCGTCTCTGAGAACGCAGCTAAGCAGATGTCAAAGACAAGATGCACGCCTTAGTTCCTGATAGCCCGCCTGGCCGGCTGGGAGCACACCCTGGGTCTGCTCTCACTCCAGGCACGTCCCCAGGGCCCCCCACGGAAACGGCCTGGAGCTTCCAGTTTGCTGGAGGACGTGGGGGAAGCTGGCAGTCCTTCATTCCCAAGGACTTGGGGCGCTAGCTCAGGAGCAGAGCCGTGCTGCTGGGGGGGGCGCTGACCCTGGCCCGTGGAGAGGTTCGTGGGTCCCCCGGGGGGAGGGCGAGGAGAGACGGCAGTGTGTACTTTGGCCTGAGCCCTGGGTCCCAAACCTGTCCAAGCGTGACCTCGGCTATGTCCTCGAGCCTCTCCAGGCCTCCATCTCCCCACTTATAAAATGCAGGGGGGTGACCTGGGTGAGAGCCGACCGCTTCTCAAGGGTTTGGAAGGTGAGGCAGGGGAGAGAGGATGGAAATGGGTGGGAACAGGAGGGAGCTCGCGGCTTCTCAGGCAGGACAGAAAGGTCTCAGGGGAGATTGCCTGCCTGAGCAGGGACCCTCGGTCTCTCCTAGAGAAGCCGCCGTGCAGGTGTAAGTGTGAATGTGTGTGCAAGCAAGTGCGTACGTTTGTGTGTGCGTGCATGAGAGGTGTGTATGTGTGTTTTCATGGGCCAGACATACCTGCAAATGTAGGCTTACTGTCCCCTGTGCATGTGACAATGGCACATGTGCACACATGTTCACATGGCTGCTCTTACACGGAACTGCAAGAGGTACAAAAATGCCTTGTGTCCCCAGGACAGAGGCCTAGAGACGGGCCCCTGGCTGCCTCCCAGGACTCTCCTGAGGAGCTGCTGTGGCCTCCTGGGCCCTGGGGAGTCAGCACCACGCCCTTAACCCCCACCTTCCCCTCCCGTGGCCTCTGACCACACTGGGCAGCAGGGCTGGCCAAGCTCCCAGCTGGGTGCGGGGCCGCGGGTCCTGCTCCTGGGCCTCCCACCTGGACGCTAGCAGGACCACGCAGATCCTCTGGCCCAACAGAGCCCAGAGTCAGGATGACTTCGGGGCAGCACCTTCACCCCAAATATGACAGGAACCATCTGGAACCGCAGGAGCACATGGTTCCCAGTGTGTGCATTTGCGTGTAGCCAAGCTCCCAGCTGGGTGCGGGGCCGCGGGTCCTGCTCCTGGGCCTCCCACCTGGACGCTAGCAGGACCACGCAGATCCTCTGGCCCAACAGAGCCCAGAGTCAGGATGACTTCGGGGCAGCACCTTCACCCCAAATATGACAGGAACCATCTGGAACCGCAGGAGCACATGGTTCCCAGTGTGTGCGTGTGCATGTGCATATGTGTGCGTGCGTGTGTGTGTGTGTGTGTGTGCTGGTGGGTAATAAACATTCTCATTGCTCGGTGGGTCACAGTTTACAAAACACCTTTAAAGCCATTTTCTTCGGTAAGCTCCATGATACCTTTACGTCGGGGAAAACTGAGGTCTGGGAAAGCCGACCGTCCCACTCAGGGAGCAGCAGCTAGTGGACAGCAGAGCCAACCCCAGCCTAGCACTTCTGCTCTCGGGGAGGCCCCTCTGTACCCTCAGCTAAGAGCAAAGCCCCACCGTAGTCACTCTCAAGAATAGGAAAATGGCCGCAGGACACGACGGCTGCCAGCAAGTATGCGGCCACCAAGGGCCAGGCGATGTCAAGGGCCAGGGCTCAGGCTGCGGGCAAACACCCCAGACACCCTTCGAGCCATTCCAAGAAGAGATGCCTCGCCTACACAGCCCTAGGGATGCTGCGGCATCCTGGCTGGCCTGTGGGGCTGTGCTTGTGACTTTGGGGACCTTTGGGGCAAAAGATGCCCACGTCGTCCCTGGGATGGCAGTGACCATGGCTTCTCACGGTCGCTCCCCTCTGCTTGAGGCTCACCTGCTGGGGGTGGGCGGGAAGGTGGCCTTGACCCCTGCAACACTGGGTCAGGCCCAGTCGCTGGGACCCCAGAAGCCAGCTCTGGGGCCTAAGAAAGCCATGGACTCTGCAGTCTGAATTTTGGCCTGCCACTTGCCAGCTGGGCGACCTTGGAATGATCTATAAGCTTTAGTTTTCTCCTTTGCAAAATGTAAATAATAATAGGGCCTGCCTCACAGAGATTTATAAGGATTAAATGAATCAATACATGTAGAGCTTTAATAAGAATGTCGGCATATAGTAAAGTAAGTCATCAAGCATTAGTAATAATAATAGCAGAGACCCTTTGCCTCCATGAGGACTTGGTGGTATAATAATAATTATTATTATTATTATTACAATCAGAGTCAGCGAGAAACTAGGTGAGGCAGGACTTGCCAGCAATCTTGCTGTTCCCCAACAGTTTTGCACAGACTATTCCTTTATTCATTTATTCATCAACAAATATTCATCGAGCATCTACTACGTGTCCAGCTCTGTGCAAAGCGCTGGGGATACAGCAGTGAATAAGAGCTGAGTCCCTCCTGTCATGGATCCGGTACCATGTACCAGGCTAACAGAGGAGACCCGCAGAGGGCTGAAGTAAACGAGCACCAGAAATATTTACAAATATTGTGATGAGTGCAACCAAGGAAACAGCAGTGGTTGCGATAAGTGACCAAGTTCACTGGGGAGCTGGGCGTCCTCAATAGAGGAGGGGCGTAAGGGCTCCAGCTGCGAGCCAGCCACCCAGCCCACCCTCCCAGGCTGTAGAGACTGAGGCCCTTGCTAGCTCTGGGCACAAAGGATCAGGCCCCCAGCAGCCCCAGCGATGAATGGAGGGACCAGAGGGCTGAGGGGCTGGCACTGGCCCTTCTAATTACTCTGCTCCGGCAGTTCAGAAGGATTTTCCCCCAGCAACCAGGGGAGACCTTCGCCTCCACCTGGCAAAACTGACTGAACACCCACTGTGTGTGCGCGTGGATACATGCATGCGGGTGTGTGAGCAAGTGCGTGTGCAGTGCGCTTCGTGCCGTGTGTGTCGAGGGTGCATGAATGTCGTACGCACATGCGTGAAGGCCTGTGGGGATTACAGCAGCACAGATCTGGCTCCGATGTCGACCTGGCCACTCACGAATGACAAGAACACCTCTCCGAGTCTCAGCTGTCTCATCTATAACATGCGGTAACCGCTGTGCCTGCCTCAAAGGATAACTGCAGTCACTAAATCTAATTCATTCATTCGTCCATTCAGACAGCAAGTATTTATTGAGCAGCCACGATGTGCCAGGCACCGTTCTAAGTGCTGGGGACAATAAAACCCCCGGCCCTGGTGACCGATATAGTAGTCTGGGTGCGATGGGTAGAGAGACGAGAGACCAAGTGGGCCAGTGATTGTAGGGGTGCTCAGAGTCATGAGTGGTGTGGGTTGGGGGGTTGGGAGCACTGGGGGGCGTGCTGTACCTGGGAGGGTACAGTGGGCCTCAGGAGAAGATGATGTGTGAGCAAATACTGGTAGGGAGGGAGTGAGCGTGCCATGCGGGGGCTGGGGAGGACTGCCAGAGCAGCCATCAGCACGCGGGCTGGTGGGAAGGGGCTGCGGGGCCTCCCCGAGGACTGAAGCCTGGGCCTTTTGGCCGCTGACCTGAGCGGAGGAGAAAGCGTGCCGCGTGTCCTCGAGAGAAATGATCATTCTCACCTCTCCAGGGCCACGGGCCCCTATCTTGAACCCCAGGCCGGATGCGTTCCAGAAAATTCAGAACTTTTCAGATCGAAGAGGGTAAATTGTGCATGCGCCGTGTGCTCGTAACGGCCGGCGAGGTCTCCGGCAACACCCCCTCATGAAACCCATTCCCACTTCTGCAGTGAGGCGTGAATTTACACGCTCAGAGGGACCCCTAAGGACTACAGATGCCCGTTAGGAAGACTTTTGATTTGGATTTTCAATTGCAAATAGGGGACCGTGGCCCCGTGTCACTTACCCTGTCACTACGATTATCACCATTACCACCATCGTCATCGCTGAGCACCCTTAAGGGACTGGACTCTCATGGCTTTCGTGGGAACCTCAACACTCCCTTCTCCCTGGGGGCTTGGGAAGAGTGGTAGGAACAAGATAGAAAACAGGTGGCAGTTTGCATAGCCAGGGTCCTATGCGCCACCACAGACTCCCCACAGAGGCTTCCACAGTGAGCCTGCCCTCTCCTCAGCCTCAGCTTCCCCTGTCTGTACCGCAGGGTGAGCAGGCTCTGGGATCCCCCCATGGTCGACTCCCACGGGGCCCTGTCAAGTGATAGGGATGGGGTTTCTGCTCTGACTCTGCCACCAGCGAGCTGTGCGACCTTGGGCAAGTCACTCAGCCTCTCTGAACCTCGGATTCCTAATCCGAAATTGGGAGGAAGCATGATCGCTTCTACACAGGGCCGTGGGTAGAAAGAATGAGCCCCTGTATGTGACAGAGCTTTGGGATATGTGAAGCTCTGAGCAAAAAAGCAGGCTTGTCACTGTGACGATGGAGACACATATGTGGCATGAAACACAGGCAAATTCAATTAGAGACAACAGGCCACCAGGGAGAGAGTACAATGACAAGCTAAACCGAGAAGGCCATTCTGCCTCGATCTGCTTGCTATCCGCTCATGGGAGCGTGCCCCGGGCGACAGAGATGAGAGGCCCAGTCCGCTGTCCTTTCTGGGGCTCCAGCCCCCAGGCTGTCCTGGTGTGAGCCCAGTGCGATTCTCTGCCGTGTTCTGCCATAAAAAAGGCCCCTAATCATAAACCAGCCTCCTCATCTGTGGGCTCTGGCTGAGAAACAGAATTTAGGCCCTTGTGATCTTTGTCTCTCTGACGCCCTGATACAGACACAGGTTGGACAGGGCTCCCTGACGAGTGTCAGTTCTGGAAATAGGGGTTCCTGACCTTCTGAGGCAGCCCATCATCCAGAGACGAGAGGAAGGAGAACCAGCATGCCCCCAAAGGCGGTCAGACATACGGAATTCGCTGTAAATCAATGAGAAGTTCATGGACTACTAGGGGGATCGTTGTTTATGGAAAAACAGACCATCTGACTTCAACCCACACAAAATCAGTCCATCGCTTTCCTTCTCTGGGGTATAGAGATGGCAGCCCCCGTGGGACGAGGCTGTCGGGATTGACACAAGGTCTTCCGTGACCACCCCTCGCCCGCCCTGGGATCTGCATGGGCTAAGAGTTCAGTCAGTGTTCCCTGTTGCCGTTGCAATCATCAGTAATGTCCCCTCCCTCCCTGCTCCGGGATCTGGGTGCCGGGCGGACCCACAGCAGGCCATGTCCTGGCCTCTATGTCCTTGTGTAGAGGGGCTGCCAGGGCAGGTGCCCGTGGACCCAGGCAGGGCCTATGTCAGAGGTGGGCCAGCCTGGGCTTTACAAATCCTGGCTCCGCTGAGTACTGTACAGTGGTACTGATCATACAAGCTTGCAAATGTTCCTCTGCAATTTCAACCCCCACCCCAAATTTGTAAATTTCTGGCAAACATTCTGTGCAAATCCTGACCTGAATGACTAAGGAGGCTATTTGTAATCTTGACGCATCCCGCCTAGTGTGAAAACTCATGTGTCACTGCAGAAACCCACCTAGTGTGAAAACTCATGTGTCACTGCAGAAACCATCCTATGTTTGAAGCTGGGGCTCTCCAGACCCAGGGCAGGGTGACAGGAGGCTGCCTCAGGGGCGCTGGCAAATCAAAAGGGACAGGCCACTGCCTGGGGCTGGCGGTGACATGGCTCAGTATAGCCAGAACGACCTATTTTTCAAAAACATCTGGATCTTGGGATTTTTTTTTAGAAAGCAAAACAAAACAAAGCAAAAAAAATCCTTAAAAAAAAATTGGCCCCCCAAATGTTAAACACTGCACAGAATAAATAAAACTCATCCATGGCCTAATGAGGCCTGCTGGGTCGTGGTAGAGATAGTTAAAGTGAGAATCATCTGGAATGCTGGAGGGTAAGAGGATGGGGGGGGTGTGTGTGTGTGTGTGTGAATGAGCCTATAAATGCCTCGGAGCTGCTTTCAGGAGTTCATCCAACTCCTCACAGAGACCTCATGGCGCAGGCAGGGTCAAACTGATTAAATCTCTGCAAATGCAGAAATGACACAGAGGGGCTCAGGGAGAGCCGGTCACGTGGCCTTCTAACCCTCTCTGGTCCTGAGCTTTGCCTGGACGTGGCCGGTCTAAGCCCTAAACCACAGGGCTTCCAAGGGCGGTTGGCGAGGGGAGGAAGGGGCCTTCAGAGAATTCTTATTCCCAGCCCCAGCTGCTGGCATGTCGTTGAGGATGGCGGGTTAGGAAATGTCATGATGCTTCTGTGCCTCATGTCCCTCGTGGTCACCAGGTCTCCAGGCTTCTGTCTGCAGATTCTGCTGCAGCAGAGCCTCAGGCCTCAGGCTGCAGGCAGGGGCCAGAAGGGTAGGTTATAGTTAGGAGGGGGTCAGAGAGACCCCCAGCACAGTCTGCCAGGTTCAGGGGAAGGATGATATTGGTCTGACCTCTGAGCGAAGCAGCTAAAAGAATGAAAATAAGCTGTGGGCAATCAAAACCTGAACCTCTCCCCGCACAGACAGAGTAAGCACCGTGGATGCCTGCAGGTCAGGCACACATCTGTCTCATCATCCGCCTCTGCCCACCCTGCCACCACTGAGATACCTCAGGAACAAAAGATTCTAGGCCATAGACGTTAAAACCAGGACAAAGACGAGGCATCGCGGACTCTAACCTCCTCATTTTACAGACAAAGAAACTGAGCCCAGAGAGATTGAGCAACTTGCCAAGGTCACACAGCAAGTTCGTGGAAATGGCATGTTTCACTGACTGAACAGAATCATGGCTTTCATCAGGTTTGCACAGCAAGAATATGCGCGACTTAGTGGAACACGGCAGGCGGCCACAGCCATCCCTCTGAAAGAAAGGGAGGCGGCTTGGCCCACCCGCCAAAAAGCGCAAATGCTGTGCCAACTGGCCTGACCCCAGCGCTCACCAGCTGCTTGGGCTGGTTGCTTAATCTCTCTCAGTTTCCTCATCTATAAAATGGGGATCAGAACAACAGTACCTGTTCCAGAGGGCTGTGGCGAGGCTTGAGAGTTAATGTGTAAAAATGCCTTGTGCGAATTATGAGGGTGTTGATGATGGTGCTGGTGCTGGTGCTGGTGATGGTGATGGTGATGGTGCTGGTGCTGGTGCTGGTGATGGTGATGGTGATGGTGCCGGTGATGGTGATGGTGATGGTGATGGTGCTGGTGATGGTGACGGTGATGACGATGGTGATGGAGGAACAAGACAGGAAGCACTGCTCTGCTGAGGACAGACAGGCACCCAGAGGGAGGCAAAGCCCGAGAACACATAGATGCCTTTTCTCAACAGAGCACTTTTTTTTTTTTAGAATTTTCCTCAATTCTCCAGCTTGGTCAGTCTTTCTCAAGTGTGCTCTCTGAGCAGGTCCTGGGCTCTTCTGTGTGACATCTGCCCGGAGGGTCAAGCCCAGTCCTTACCCCTAGGGCCATCAGGGTCTGGAGGCCCAAGCACCTTTGGGTCAGGGCCGAGGTCGTGTTCATCTCTACATCCCCAGACTCAGCACTTTGGAGGTACGAGTGGTGGCAGAAAGTAGAAAGCACGGGTTTAGGGGGCAGGCCTACGGCTCGAAGCCAGGCCTAGCCGGTTGCTGGCAGCGTCACCCTGGACGCGACACCTGTCCTCTCCCAACATCTATTCTGTGAACATACTCAGTTCACACTGTGGAGCTGTGGGAGGTGAGCAATGCCATCTGTCAGGGGCCACCCAAGTGCTGAGCACACGGAAGGTGCCTGATAATTGGTAGTTTCTGTTAATGATGGATGTCGACCGAGGTGACTTTGGGAATACGAGGTTCCCGAGTGGGAAAGGGAAGTACGAACCCTATGCCCTGGCTTTCCAAGCACCCAGGACGGGGATTCCTCCCACTGGGGAAGCTCCCGGCAGGCCTCCGTCCTGCCCGCACCTGCCCCAGGCCTGGCCGCTGCCACGACCAGTAACACCAGCTCTGAGCTCTGAACATGGGCCGCCCATGTTAAGCCCTTTACATTTATTATTTCAGCTCCATCTCACAGCATCACCATAAAGTTTGTTCTATTTTTGTCCTCATGCTGTGGATGAAGAAATGAAGGCTCAGGAGAACTAAGCGCCTCGCGCCCCCTTAAAATTCGACTGCTGGTTCAGAATGCTCGGGCAAGAGCAGACTTTTAAAAACATACCCATTATTTAACGCTCCGCAACAATTTCTCAAAAGCAGCTTAAACACAGCCATTTACTTCATAACGTGATCACCCTGACCCAGCGCTGTCCCTAGCTCCCAGTTGAGAAGTCAGTCCAGGAGTCAGACAGATGGCAGTCATCTGTGACTGACAAAGCCGTGCGGTGAACACAGAGGGTGGCTTCTGAGGACACATAGGCTTGCCAGCCCACCCCATCCCCACCTAGATCAAACCTCCACCCCAACCACAGATGAGCTAGCCACAGGCTGCTCTGTTGAGAGACCCCCCTCTTCTTACGACGGGGCTGGGAGGAGGCGGAACGTCCCACATGACCCTCATTCCTACTGGCTGGGCCCAGGCAGGAGCTGGGCCAGAGCAAGGCCAGTCCCCTCCAGTCCTCTCCACTGGGACTGTGGTCTTGGCTCTTTTGCCAAGTGGCTTCACTGCCTTTGAAGTCTCTCTGAATAGAAGTCTCTTTGAGCTTCGATTTCCTTCTCTGGATAAATTGCTGTCGTTCTCATTCTGTCTTGGGAATACTAAAAAGTAGCGACGTCATCTTGGAGGCCCTTGCCGGCTCGTTCTATGGCTGTCTAGAACTATGGAGTTCAAACTTTCTTGATTGAAAGCGACACACAGGACGTTTTTACTCTGCAACCTAATGCACAAAAAGTGGTCTTTAGCCTCAAAAGGCCTGGCACATTCTGATAACCCCTATTCTGGTCCATTTCACTTTTTAAAAGGTCGATGGTTGCATGACTATATATTTTTTTAATCGATGCTTTCAATACTGCATATTACTACAAAGGGACAGCAGGAGGAAATCTGGGGGGTGATGGAACCGTTGCATGCCTGACTGTGATGATTACACAGGTCTACATATGTGTTAACATTCATAGAATTATGCACTAAAGGAAAATCCATTTTACTGCATGTACATTTAGAAAGTAAAATTCTAAAACGAGAAAAAAAACCTGATGGTTGCGACCCGCTAAACTGATTTTATGACCCACCATAGTACGAACACCTCTGCTTCTGAACCCCGCAATCATGGCGGCAGGCAGAAAAGGCCATTGCTCAGCCTGCGGGTGGAGAAAGCGGGAGGGAGACTTCACTTTCTGACCCTGCTCTCTCCTTTCCACAGTCACTTCCTGCCTCGGATGGCTTAACTGGTTGGACTCAGGTAAGGAGGTCTGGGGCAGAGGTGAGGGAGGGTGGGGAGCAGGGCTATGAGTTCATCGGCTTGTTGGGGGTCCTGCCAATTAAGAAACTGGCACCTCCACCAGAGTGAACCCCACACCAGAAAGAGAGAGAACCCCACCACACGCATGTGCACGCGAACACACACGACGTTTAAGAAGCCCAGGTGCAGGCACCTGCCTGCAAATGCCAGTTCTCATGATAGGTGTTATTATGACCCATTCGCCATGCACAGAAAACATACTGGCCCGTAAATGCACCTCGCGAAGTCCTGCTTCTTACCTGGTCCTGCCAGATGCTCCCTGGTGGAAGATGTTTGCTGCCGAGGCTGCAGAGAGACACTGCAGCAGATCGTAAAGTGTGTTGAATATCCTGCCTTTGAAGTTGGGCTTTAATCCCAGAGGCTACTGTTTCCCAAACAGGGTTCCACGGAACACATTGGACAAAGGATGGGTAGCACCCCATCACTCACTGGAGAATGACAGTGTAACACTAGCCTAGTAAAGGCTCTGAGAAGTCCTGTAGCAAAGAAACCTGTTAAACATTTAACTCGGCAGTTCCCAGACTCATTTCACCACAGAGCTCTCTTTTTCACATTTCCTGAAAAAAACATCATGCTGAATATATTTGGGGACAAATATGGCTGGAGAGTCTCATGAAGTCACCTTGCAAGCAGAGGGGGCCTTCCGAAGGCCCTGCACTGGGCCCTGGAGCCCTGCAATGGCATCTGAGCTCTAGAAACTTGCTTAGAACCTGAGCCCCAATTTCTCCCACCTGTAAAATGGGGAGAAAACCTCTTCCCTGGTGAGGATTCAGTGAGTCAGCTTGCTAGAGGGAAAGCCACAAACCTTCTGTCGATGTCAAGTATGGGGACGAGCCTCCTTGGCCTCTAACTAGCCAAGGGACCTTGGCCAGCCCTAGCCCTGTGTGCTGGGCCCTCATTTGTGGGAAGAAAAAGGCAGCCTGACCAGCAACTCTTGACCAGGGAAAACCCCTACCTCAGAATCACTTAGAAAACCTTTTCGCATTTAAAAATACTTTTCTTGAATAAGTAACACAGCTTCCTGGCTCAGAGACGAAACATATATACGATCTCATTTCCATCTCTGTCTCTTACCTGTCCGGTCCTTCCCTCCCCCTAACACCCCGGAGAATAACCACATTTATTCATTTCTTGCATATCCATCCAGAATGTCTTTATGCAAATAACAAACATACATTCTTATTTTTTCCTTCGTGGAGCTTTAGGAAATCACACAAGTTTGCGTCCTTACCTATGACCCAGGAATTCCACTTCCATTCTCTCAAGAGAAACAGGGACAGGTGCCCCCACAAAAACAATCGGTACATGAATGTTCAGAGCAGCCCAAATCTGCAAACAGCCCACGTGGCGAATGGATAAACCGCAGCACATCTACACAATGAAACATTATTCAGCAACCCAAAGGAATAAACTGCCGATTCCTGCGGCAACAGAAGAAACCTCAGCCACGGAGCCAGACTAAACAACCCACGAACGAACAAAAATGCCCAATGATTCCGCTTAAATGACATTTTAGAACAGGCAAAACTAATATTTAGTGACAGAAAGCAGACCAGTGGCTGCCCGAGGCTGGATTCGGGGAACTTTCCGGATGATGGAAATATTCTATGTCTGGAGTGTGGTGGTGATTACAATCGGGTACACGCTTGTCAAATTCCCTTGAACGATTACCCTTAAATGGGTGCATTTCCACTGTATGTAAATTGTACCTCAATAAAATTGATTTTCAATTAAAGAGAGGAAAAGAAACAGATGCCAGGCCCCATCTGGGATCTGTTGAGACAGAATTTCCAGGACTGGGGCAACTCTGCTGCACAGTGCATGCCGACGACCCCTTGCCCACTGCTCCGAGTCCCTCTCTGCTGAGGTCTGAGCCCCATCCTACCTGCCCAGCTTTCGGGGGGCCGCCTGGGTCAGGAGCAGCCCCAGCCTGAGCCCTTCCAGGAAGTCTCTGCAGTGTCCCAAAGGAGGAGCTCACAGGAGCAAGGTCAAGGCAGGCAACCTGTGGGGCGGAAGGGTGCCTGGCTGGTTGTTGGGGGCTCAGACAGAGGTCGGGGGTGGTCAGTGAAGGGCTCTCATGGAGGGTCCTTCCCTGCATGACCCCCCACGGCTACCTCTTTGATCCCTAGGGTCCCTGGTGAGACTAAGCGGCTCCAACTCAATGTGCCAGGGCCAGCTGGAGGTCCATCTCAGAGACACGTGGCACACAGTTGACAGCCGGAGCTGGGGCCTGAGCTCAGACCGCTGGAAGGACCTCAAGCAGGCCTCCAAGTTCTGCCAGAAGCTGAACTGTGGGGAAGCCTTGAACCTCGGCCACTTCCCTAACTTCAACAGTCCCCAGAACCATATCATCTGCAATGGACCACTGGGGTCCTTCAGCTGCAACTCCAGCAAGGCAAACCAGAGGGAACCTCTGGGCCTGATCTGCTTAGGTGGGTAACTAGCTCGTCACACGGGTTCCTTCAGCTCAGGCGTCAGCCCCGAGGAAGCTGCCCAGGGCCTGTGGTTCGGGGCCTGAGCAGGCAGGTGGATGCGGGTCCCTGATTTACAACTACATCCTCCCAAAACATACACTGGTGGGGACTTGGAAGGGGAAGACTGGTGGGGGGGAGGTGTTGGCACTTGCACAGAAGGATAAAAAGTTCGAGGACCTGGTTCTGCTAACCGCTGACTTCACTGTCTCCTCTTAACCTCCATTTTCCCCTCTGTAAAATGGGTTGGTACCACCCACCTCACAAGAAGCTTAGAGACAAAGTGTCGGTCAAGTGGGCTTCGTGGGTCAAGTGGTACTTACGTCATGAGTCCCAGGTCCTTCTCAACACTGCCAGTCGCCCCAGCCCTCTCCATCCTTCCGTTCTCCCCACCCCCTCTCCTCCTGGGGGCCCTTGCCTCTTCCTCATCAGAGTGTCCCATTGCAGAGCCACGGAAGACGACTCCTCCTCCCACAAGCCCACCGCCCACAACCACTCCGGAGCCCACAGGTAAGAGGATGCTGAGGCCCCCTGGGGGTAGGGTGTCGGATTAGCAATTAAAAACCACAGGATGCCCAGGTATGGTTGAATTTCAGGTAAACATGGACGGTTTCAGGAGAAAGACGTCCGCGAAATATTTGGGACCTCACCACTTCCCAGGGCCATCGGCTAGTCATTCATTGGTCCTGGTGTTGAAGTCAAAGACCCAGGAGCGAGGCGGGTACCCCTCCGGGCTGTCAGCATACAGACCCACACGCCTATCCCCTCTCTTCCCCCAGCTCCCCCCAGGCTGCAGCTGGTGCCAGGGCCCAGGGGCCTGCGGTGCGCCGGCGTGGTGGAGTTCTACAGTGGCAGTCTGGGTGGTACCATCAGCTACGAGGACCAAGACAGAACCCAGAACCTGGGGGACCTCATCTGTGCGGCCCTCCAGTGTGGCTCCTTTCTGAAGCACCTGCCGGAGGCCGAGGCAGTGGGGACACAAGGGCCGGGGGAGAGCGAGCCCTTGCCAGTTCGATGGAAGATCCAGAATGCAAGCTGCGCCTCCCTGGAGCAGTGCTTCCGAAAAGCCCAGCCCTGGGAGTGGGGCCAAGCCCTCGCCCTCGTCTGTTCTGGTGAGCGAGACCCGGCCAAGACCCACGGCTGCCCCCAGTGGTCAGTCGCCACATGTTCCCTCTAACCCCTGCATGTAGCACACCCGTGAGGCACTATGCAGAACACGAGAGAGGCAGAGGCGGACAGCCAGCCTCTAAGCGGGAGGCAGGTCTGGGGCGGGGAGACCACACTCATACCTGGTGCCTTGGGAATCTCTGCAAAGCAACTCAAACAAGCACGAATGCACCTCTGGCTCGGCCGCCACACGGGGAGGTGGGGTCAGCGGGACCTTCCAGGAGGAGGCAAGGTCTCATGGGTTTGATGGAGCAAAGGAGAGAAGGCTTCTTCTAGGTGGGGGTTGTGGCTCGTGCCAAAGACCAGAGCAGGATAGAGCACTGGGGAGTGACAAGCCTTGCAGGAGGGGAGTTTGTAAATCCCAGAGACAGCTGTGGTTGCAGTGATGGGAGGTCTCTGGGGCATAGCAGGCAGAGAGAGACCAGAGCAGGTCCCCCGAGGGCCCCCTGCAGAGGCTCCCCAGCCACAGGCAGGCAACTTGAAGAGACTGGCGATGCTGGTGTGGTTGAGGGAAGGAGGCTTATGAGGCTGGTCTGTGAGCCCCCAAACCAGGATCAATGGAGAATCCCAGGGGAAAGAAACCATAGCCTGCCTCAGGGGGACAGGGGCCTCCTATCAGCAGAAGGGTTCTGGGGAGTCCAGACTTTAACACGTCATACGTCACGCCGAGGACCATTCCAGGGCGTTTTCATGTTCACAGCAGCCTTCGGAGGTGAGTGCTACCGTTATCCCCACTTGACAGGTGAGGAAGCTGAGGCTCTGAGAGGTTAAATTTCTCGCCCACTATCATAGAGCACTAGCCGAGATAGCCACTCAAGCAGGGTCACTCCAGAGCCTGTTGCCTAAGCCCTAGCTACTCAAAGTGTCGTCCCGGAGATGTCATCGGGGGCTGGTTAGAAAGGCTGACTCTCAGGCCTCACCCCCGACCTGCTGAATCAGGTTCTGCATTTCAGCGATTGGTGTGCAGGAAGCCAGGAAGCGGAGCTCTGGGCCCTGCAGCCCACGCCCGCTGGACACCTGGTGTGAATCAGTCAACTCTGCTCCCTCCAGGCGGAAGCAGCCCCCAACGGCCTCTTGGCCTGATGAGGGGAGAAGGGCAGGCCCTCTGTCTAAAAGCCCTCCTGCAGGCTACAGAGCAAATCATACCCAGGGGGCTGGCCGTTGACATTTGTTCCAAACAGAAGACTTACTAGGGTTTTGAAGGTGGATGTTGCTATGGAAACTGGCCAAAGCTGGTGAGATCACAGCTCCCTCTATACCGAGCGTGAGCGTGGAACCCCAGACTCCACGCTGACACACAGGAATGTCTGGTCTCTGTTGGACCAGGCCCCTTTGATGGAAGCCTGGCCCTCAGGGCACCGGGCTTGGACAGCAAGATTCCTGGCTTCTGTCCCACCTGCGATATGTGGGACTCAGTGCAGAGGTATTTCCCATCCCCGGGCCTCAGTTTCCCTTTCTGAGAAGCCCTCACACCTCCCAAGGAGCAGCGGGAGAATGAGAGAATGTTTCCAAGAGAGACATGGAGCCTCTTTTCCACTGCTCCACCTGGGCGGGGCCACTCCCTGCTCGTGGCCGCCGACAGGCATCAGACGGGCATCGCCACCCTGCCAGCTTCATCGCTGAAGAGCGCCCATGCTGTGAGGAGCAGGACAGCTGCCGGCAGTTGCCCAGAGATGGGGGAAGTGCCAGGGAAGATGCCAGAGGGAAGGAAAGACAGAAAGGAAGGCTGTCTCACGCGGTGCCTAAACCCCTGCGAGCTGGCCCCCCGTCAGGGTCCTCACCTTGCCGAGGGAGTTCCTTCCGAGCCTGTCACCTCACCTCCCACTGCTTTCTGTCCCCAGATTTCCAGCCCAAGGTGCAAAGCCGCCTGGTCGGGGGCAGTGGTGTGTGTACAGGCTCCGTGGAGGTGCGCCACGGCAAGCGGTGGGAAGCCCTGTGCGACAGCCCCACCACCAAGAGCACAGCGCGTTGGGAAGAGGTGTGCCAGGAGCAGCAGTGTGGCGACCTCCACTCCTACCGGGTGCTGGAAAGCGAGAAGACCTCCCGGGGGCTCTACTGCCCCCAGGAGAAGCTGTCCCAGTGCCACCACCTTCAGGAGAAAAAAGCCTACTGCAAGAGGGTGTCTGTCACATGTAAGTTGGCCACAGCCCTATGGTGGGCGGAGGGCAGTCCTGGATTTTCTTTCTAAGACCCCGTCGGTGAGCATGTTTCCGAAGAAGAGGCCCTTGGAGCTAGATGCAGAGCCCCAGAACCCCAGAAAAGTTTGGAGAGATGGCAAATGAGAGGAGAGGGGGCCAGCTGTGGGCGGGAGCCATTCAAGGAAGTGGCCGTAATTGTTAGGTGCTAACGAATGATAGAACTCCATTCTGTCATCTTTTCTATCAGGATGGAACATAGAAAAGCAAGGGATAGATGCTACGTATTTGCTATACTGATGGTACCTGAAGAGCTCATTAAAGAGAGAAATGGAGGGATGGATGGCCGGCTGTTGGTATAGGATCAGACATTGTCATATATGATGGCAAGGTGATCACTTATAACTGGAAAATGGTAGAAAGTTAAATAGTTGATTATACGAGTGGCAAGTGATAACCGAATGGTCAATTGCTAGATGATAAATGGTAGATAAATGGATGTGTAGCAGAGAATTCTAGAGATGGGTAGAGAAACAGCCAGACAGATAATTGTCTTCCACACACGCCAGTGAATCCCCGGGGACACCGGCCCGCAGCTTCCCTTCGACTGGATGGTTTTGATACCCATGGGGTGGGACTGACCTGACCCCTCTGCCTCCCCCCAGGCCAGGATCCAAACCCGGCGGGCCCGGGCGCAAGCACCGTGATGAGCATCATCCTGGGCCTCGTGCTTCTTGCTGTGCTGCTGGTCATGTGCGGTCCCCTCGCTTACAGGAAGCTGGTGAAGAAATGTAGGTACAGGGGACCCAACCACCTTCCCTTCAAGCCCCCGTGTGGGGAGTTAGGAGGGGACGCACTCAGCCCCATGGAGAAGGGGTCTCGCCACCAGCGAGCTCGGGCCAAGGGCAGCCCTATTTCACCACCCGGCCCCGCCTGTCTCCTGCCCACTGGCCTTTTTCTGCCCAAAGTAACAGAAAGAGAAAATCAGAAACATCACAGCCTCCCTGATTCGCCCACTCCTGGGGCCCAGCTGAGACCCCCTGGAGGCCTAAGGGAAGATGTGGCCATTCTTTAGAGGGTGACAGGCTCAGAGGGTCATGAGCATGGCCTCTGACCTCAGAGGACACGTGTCCCGGGCCTGGCTCCAAGCTGCACATGATGTCGATTGAGCCACTTCCTCTCTGAGCTTGTGTCCTCACCTACCGAATGGGCGATTACTCACCTAGTGACTACAGCAGGTTGCTATTCTCGTCTTGCAGAACTGAGGAGAAAATTATTCAGAGACAAGGAAGTGAGATGACAGGGGCTGAAAAGAGAAAGCCCAGAGGTGGGCAATATTGGCTGGGTCCCCAGCGCCTTCGCAGGTCTTAATTCTGGTCCTAAACAGTCACTTCTGGAGAACCAGCCTCTTTCCCACGCTGGCTCCGTTAGCACTAGATAAGTCCAGCTCCCTCCCAGGCAAGTCAGAAAACTGAGTCCCCCCAAAGACTTCAGAGGGCAGAATCCAGCAGGGCCCCTCCCCCTTGACCTTCAGCAGCACCTGCCGCCTCCTCCTACACTCCTACAACCCCCCACTCCCTCCACCCGCCCCCACCCTGATGCGCCTTTCCTGTCTGTCACCCAGTTCGCCAGAAGAAGCAGCGCCAGTGGATTGGGCCGACTGGAATGAACCAGAACAGTAAGTGTCCCCGGAATCAGGGTCCCCCCTCGGCCCCAGCCAGTGTGCACCAGGCTCAGGAAGGAGGTCACGGAGTCAGTGGCTGCTTGAGGCCTCTGAGCTCCGCCATGTTCATCTAAGGTGTAACTGCCAACAGGTGTTAACAGGTGATGCTCACAAAGGAGGACTCCGTGACCAAATCAACTTGGAAATCCATGAGTTAAGCAAAACTAGACATGGTTGTTTCAGGACTTATTAGAACCCTGTTGGGCATTTTTGCTTTGTTCATCCCCAAAGAGAGGGACACGTTAAGAAGGGTCGGCCAAGCTAGTTTTATCACGGAATGCCCTTGTCATGAAATAACTTAAAAGGCCAGTTTGAACACATTTCGATGCAGCCCGCCTAACCCCACCCCCAGCCTTCGTCCTCTCTCATGGATGGAACCAGAGCACCCCCCTCCCCCGACTCCCATTCTTCCCTCCTTTACAAGTCGAGGGTCACATCCTTTAAGAAGGCTCTGTGTTGTC